CCCCAAAATTTGGGGGGGTTTTTGGGTAAAAAAAGCAGAAATTCTCAAAAGGGGGGGGCCCCGTAAAAAAATTTTCCCAATCCCCCCAAAAGGGTTTTTGGGGTTTGTGAAAATTCCATTTTGGGGGGCCCTTTTTGTCCCCACAAGGGCACCTTTTAAGGGGTTGTTTTCCCTTCATGCAACCCTGAGGGGGGATTTCTTCCAGGATTGTCAAAAGGGGGGAAAAAAATTTTCAAATTTAAAAAAAATAAGCGGGGAATGGAAACACTGGGTTTTTTTATTTTATCGGACTGGGAAAATTTAAAGGTTTATTTTGAATTGTAATGCCTTTCCCTTATCTTTCCCTTCCTTTCCCGCAATGGGGGGGTTTCAAAAGGGGGGGGAAACCCCTCCCCCGCCCCCCCCCTTTTTTTCCCCCTTTGTTTTTTCCCCCTTTTCCCCCCTTTTTCCCCCTTATTTTTTTCCCTTTCTTTTTAAAAAGCTGTTGAACCCGGGGAATGCGGGGTTTTTTCCCCCCGGGGGGCCCGGGTTTTTAGAAACGCAACAGGTTCTTAAGTCGGGAAACAGGTTCAGAAGAACGGGCGGGTTTTCTAATTGAAGACGGGGAGGTAGTCCCGGAAAATGGGGGGGGGAAAAAGAAAAATTTAGGTGGACGCTTTTGTTGAAGGGACTTTTCCATTTTAGTTGGAAGACAGGGAAAAAGGGGGGGGTTTTGGGGGGGTTTCATATTCTGGGAGGGGCATTTAAAGGGGAGGGGAAAAACCATGGGTAAAAAAGGGGGCAAAATATCACCGGGGTTTCTATAACAGACATTTTAATCTGGAAAAAATGGTTTCCAAACCAGGGTTCGTTGAGGGGCAAGGTTCAAAAAACCCCGAAGGGGGGTTTATAGAGCGGAAGACAGGGTTCCGTATATAGCTGGCAGACGGGGGAAATTTAGTGCTGGACAGAAACGGGGGCCCGGGGAAAAAAAAAAAGGGAAAAGGGTTAAAAAATTGGACGAGGGGTTCATTTAAGAGGGCTGGACGGGGGGGAAAAAATTTAAAGAAAAAGGGAAAGGGTTTGGGGGGGCGGGTTAGAAGAGGGGGAAAAAGGGTTCTAAAGACAGGTTCAGTATAGTCTGGACAGCGGGGTTTTTAAAAGAAGACAGGGGGTTTTTGGGGTTATTTAAGGGGAAGGGGGAAAAACCCGTAAAAGAAAACAGGGTTCGATAGAGCGGGACAGAGGGGGTTCAGTATAGAGCCGGGGGGTTTTAAAGAAAGGGCCCAAAGGGGGGGTATTTCGAAACAGAAAGGTTTTATGCGGCCGGGTGGGTTTTAAAAAGGGCAGCGGGTTCGTATAGAGGGACCCGGGGGTTCATTAGAAAAAACCGGAAAAAAAAGGGGGTTGGGTTAAAAAAATTTTTAATAACGGGCAAGGGGCTTTAAGTAACAGGGCAGTCTTGGGTTTAAAAGGGTAAAAAGGGTCCAAGAGGGCAGTTAGTATGGACGAGGGGGTTTCAGATAGTAGGGGCAGGGGGGGGGAAAAAAAAAAAGACAGGGAAAAAAAGGGTTGTTTTTAAGGGGGGAAAAGGGGGGGTTTTTAGAAGGGGAAAAAAAATTTTAGGACAAAAGGGGTTTCTTGGACGGGCTAAAACGGACAAAGGGTTTATAAAAGCGGCAGACGGGTTATTTGGGAAAAGGGGGGGGTTTTAAAAGGACGGACGGGGGTTTTTATAAAAAAGGGGGTAAAAAAGTAAACAACATTTTAAAATAGCAACAGGGGTCAGTATATTTTCCCGGGAAAAAATTTTGGTATTTGGGCTACAAAGGTTCTTAAAAATTTTAAATTGGGGGAAGCCCCGGGTCATTTAAAAAGGGGTGTTTTAGTAAAGGGGTTAGAAAGGAAACAGTTTAATAAGCGGGCAGACAGGGTTATTTAAAAGGGGGGGAAAACCTTTAAATAGAAGACAGGTTCAAAAGAAAATGGGAAAAAGGGTTCATTAGAGGGCAAAAGGGGGTAATAAGAAAAAAAAAAAAGTTATTTTGGGACGGGGTTTCAAAAAAGGGCAGGTTCGTATATACCCCGGGGGCGAAAAATTTTTTTGGGGGGAAGGGAAAAAACCCGGGAAACCCGGCGGAAATTTCCAAAACGGGGTTTTCAGATAGAAACTGGACAGACGGGTTTAAATTAAAAACCCAAAGGGTTCAAGTAAAAGTTTTAAACCAGGGTTCAGTTGTAGTGGACAAAAGGGTTCAGTATAGAAAAAGCGGGGGGGGGGGCCATATAGGGGAGAAAAGGGTTAAAAAAAAAAGGGTTCATATTAGCGGGGAAATTTAAAATTTTTTTTGCAAAAAGCCCCCAAACAAAAGAATTTAGTTTCCCCTTTAAGGGCACATGGACAGATTTTCCCTAGAACCCAAAACCCAAATTGGCCCTGGGGAAGACGGGCAGCTGGGCCATACTGGGAAAGCTTGGGGGGTTCTTAGGGTTTGAATATGGGGGGGGTTTGTTAAGGAAAACCATGGGCTACATGGCAACATTTTTTCAACCCGGAGGGTTTTTTTAATGCCGGGTTTTTTAAATGGGGGGAGGGAAACGGATGGGGGGAAAGGGGACCCAGGGGGGGGTTTGGGGGGGGGGAATGGGTTTAAAATCCGCTTCCCCTCTTTCTTTTCTTTTCCCCCCTCTCTATTCTTTTTCTCCTTCCCCCCCCCAAATTTTTTTTTTAAAAAACCCTTACCCCGCTTCCCTTTCTCCCCTGGGTTTCCCTTGCCTGCTTTCCTCTCCCCTTTTTCCCCCTTTTTTTTTTTTCTTCTTTCTCTTTTCCCCCTTTCCTCTTCTCCCCTTCTTAACTCTTTACTTTTTTCCCCTTTTTCCCTTTAGTTTTTTTTTGGATAAAAGGCCCAAGAATTTTTTTTGGGGGCTGGGTTGGGGGGGCCCAATTTTGGTTTTTGGGGGTTTTTTGTTGTGTTTTTGGGGGTTGTTGGGGGGTTTTTTGGGGATAAACGGGGCCCTCCCGGGAAAAACCCCGCTATTTGGGAACTTATCATGATTTTAAAAAAAGAAATCCAAAACCGAGGGGGTCTAATTTCTATGCCTTCTTGGGAACGTTTCCCCCCCCTTTTAAAAGGCCCGGCCAGGGGTTTTTAAAAAAAATTTTTTTTAAGCTCTGAAAATTTTCCCTTTTTAAAAAAAAAAACCAAAAAAAACCCCCCTTTTTTTAATTTGATCCCCCTCGTGTCGCACAATAGGACAGCGGCTTAAGGGAAAAAGGGGGCTTTTGTTGGGGGCCCCCCTTGGGGTTTCTCGTTTTTGACTGGGACCAATTTGGCAGAAATCGCTCTTTTGGGGGGTGTTCATTTAGTTATTCCCAAAAATAAACAAAAATTTTCTCTGCGATTATTTTTTTCCCCTCCCTCAAAGGTTCCTTTCCTATGCCGTTTGTTCGTTTGAAAATCACTCAACAAATTTGCATCTTCCCCCCTCAAACCGGGAACCCCACAGCCTTTTCAGTCCTCTCCCCCTGTCAACAACGGGACTTCAAACAGACGTTTCCTTGGGCCCCCCTTTTGTCAAGGGATAGCTCCCCGAGTCTTTTGTACCCCTTTTTTTAAAAATGGTGAGTAGTCCGCAGACGTTTTCTAGTTTCCCCCCTTTTGACAATGTGGAAAAAGGAAGTGCAGGGCCCCCCCGAAAATGGGGGCCCCAAAAATCTTTGTTGCCTTTTCCCCCGGGTTTCATGGTGGGTTTTGCATGTTTGCTTTTTCCCTTTTAAAAAAGGGGACCCCGGTGCCTGGCCCCTTTTTACCCAAATGTTTTCCAAAGGATCTTTTTTCCCCCTCAAAGGGGGGGTGTCAGGGAAGGGTTTTGTTCCAGTTTTGGGAAATTTTGAAAACCTTTTTCTTCCCTCATTCGGGGAAAAAAGTGGGCAGAAGTTTTTCTTTTATTTAGTTTTTTAACAGTAAAGTTTTAAAATTTCCATTTTACCCAGGTTGTTGGGAAATTTTTAAAAGAAAGGTTTTCAAAAATGTTTGGGGGAACATTTTGTACGTTTAAGCAAAGGGCTTTCACCTTTTTGTTGGAACTTTTAATTTTTGAGGCCTTTAACCAGGGTTTTTGGAAAGGAACATTTGCAGGGGGCTTGGGGCAAACCCCGGTTTTTGGAAAATTTTTATAAAAATTTTTTAAAAACTTTTAAAAAAAATTGTTTCCCCTTTTGGGTTTTTTTTCCCCCCCGGGGGGTGTTTTGTTACGGGGTTTTAAAAACATTTTTTAAGGGAACTAAAAAGTTTTCGTTTAAAGGGTGGGGCCTGGGTTAGCCCCTTTTTGGAAAAATTTTTTTCTGCTTTTAAAAAAATTGTTGCCTTTAAAAATTTTCCAAAAAAATTGGTGTTTTTTTTTAAAAAAAAATTCAGGGTTTTTAACCCCCCCGAAAAAACCGGTTTCCCCCCCCAAATGCCCCCCCCCCCCCCCGAAGGGCCGCCCCCCCCGCCCTCGTGATCTACCCATGTGCTGTTGGAACATTGTGATACAGTTTAAGCCATGTTGCTCCGTTCTACCTCATGTGCTGTTGGAACATTGTGATACAGTTTAAGCCATGTTGCTCTGTTCTACCTCATGTGTTGTTGGAACATTGTGATACAGTTTAAGCCATGTTGCTCTGTTCAACCTCATGTGCTGTTGGAACATTGTGATACAGTTTAAGTAATGTTGCTCTGTTCAACCTCATGTGTTGTTGGAACATTGTGATACAGTTTAAGCCATGTTGCTCTGTTCAACCTCATGTGCTGTTGGAACATTGTGATACAGTTTAAGTCATGTTGCTTCATTCTACCTCATGTGTTGTTGGAACATTGTGATACAGTTTAAGCCATGTTGCTCTGTTCTACCTCATGTGTTGTTGGAACATTGTGATACAGTTTAAGCCATGTTGCTCTGTTCAACCTCATGTGCTGTTGGAACATTGTGATACAGTTTAAGCCATGTTGCTCTGTTCTACCTCATGTGTTGTTGGAACATTGTGATACAGTTTAAGCCATGTTGCTCTGTTCTACCTCATGTGTTGTTGGAACATTGTGATACAGTTTAAGCCATGTTGCTCTGTTCAACCTCATGTGCTGTTGGAACATTGTGATACAGTTTAAGTCATGTTCTAGCCATGAGAAACTAAACAACGTGTACTTGTTTCTCCCGTCATTTTGCAGTGGCGGTCTTGTTTGGTGAGCCCAGGATCTTTGGAGGTAAGACTGGTTGTGATTCACATGACGGTTAACTCTCTAAAAGCTTGTAATGCACTTACGTACAGTATGAACTCCTAAACGCTGAGTCACAGTAAAAGGGGTCTGGTTTCATGTGTGTTTATCGACCATTCACAGTTATATTGGTATTAATGTTGCTGTAACGTTGTTGTAACATTACTGTGATGTTGTGCCCTGTTAGATGACGCTACAGGCTACGGTCCAATATTTGAAGAGGAGCCTCTGGATATTGTCTACACAAAGGAGTCACCTGACAGACGCATCTCCATGAACTGTAGAGCACGGGCCAACCCTGCACCTACGTACAGGTAACACACACACACACACCTACGCACACACACACGCACGCACGCACGTACACACGCACGCACACACACACACACACACACACAGACACACACACACACACACACACACACACCACACATACACACACACACACTCATGCATGCCTGAACACACACACACACACCCGCATGCACGCACACACACACACAAACCCGTACCATACATTCAGGTAACATGCGTTACTTAGATCACATATCTTTGGCGTCCTGGAAAACCAAAGAGGTAACTTTTCAGGAATTGAAAAAATGATTGATGGTTATTTAAAGATCTACTGCCATGTAGTCACAGACATTCACAAGGTGTTCTGAATGACTTTGATTGGTTCTAGAGTCATACAACGTTCAGAGTACATGAAGAGGAATGACTAATTCCAATTTATTCAAAAAACAGCAATTTATCGGTAAAAATTGAGATACACATTTCCCGCCAGATGGAGGCGTGACAACTGGGAGATCAAGCTGATGGAGCTGCCTAATGAACACTACAGTCTGGTGGGAGGGAACCTCATCATAAACAACCCTGAAGAGAAGAAACATGCAGGGACCTATGTCTGTGTCGCCAAGAACATCTACGGCACTGTCATCAGCAAGGAGGCCAAGGTCAAGTTTGGATGTGAGTATTGTCGCGAGCCATAACCGAATATCATGTTGAGAGAGACTAGTACTGGATGTGAGTGAAACTGGTTGACTCTGGTCAACAGGTGTTAGTTCGATTTCTCTCTCACAGTAGATTTACTTATTCAGATCCCAATGGTTCTGAAATGGAATTGACTAACAAACACAAGTATCACCAAGAATGAGCCGTGTCGTGTGTCTAGTCCCTAAGTCATTGCTTCTGTCTGTGGTTTACAGCTGTGTTGTCTGTGGACACCTGGGATCATAACTATATGCTAGAGTTACACTGACCAATGCGTTGTGTTTTCTCTATCTCCAGACCTGGAGGAGTTCCCAGATGAAGAGCGGGACCCTGTGACCGTGAAGGAGGGCCAGGGGGCCGTGCTGCTCTGTGCTCCTCCCAAGCGATGGCCAAGTTAGTACCTCGACATACTGGAATACACATGATCACTCAAACTAACACACACTTATCTTTTCTTACAACCACTGACTTTGCTGATATTACTTTATTGAAGAAAAATGTGTTTACTATGACTGTGTTATGTGGTTGACTCACTTAGTTATCTTAAAGACCCAGTGCATTCAAAAACGTGATTTTCCTGTGTTTTATACATATTTCCACACTATGAGGTTGGAATAATACTGTGAAATGTTCTGCCAATAACAGCACATTTTCAGTTTTCGCCTCCTCACTCAGACCACTCCCAGACAGTCCTAGAAAAAGTATTGCTTGAGAAATTGCTCTTTGCTAAAAAGCAATTTCTGTTTCTTTTTTAAAAACCATTTTAAATGAAAACAATCACTGTAATGTACTTAATTGTTTACCAGAAATGATTTGATATTGAGATAAAAATGGCTGCATTGGACCTTTAAGATCAATGCACTATCTTCAAGTGGCTCTGGTTAAGAGCGTCTGCTGAAATGTAAACGTAAACCAGGGGTGTCAAACGTCCGGCCCGCGGGCCGGATCAGGCCCGCAAACGGGTTTAATCCGGCCCGCGAGATGATTTTGAAATAAATAAATAAATAAAATAATAATAATAATTTTGTAAAGTATAAAAATGCGCTGCAATTTTTCAATAAAATAAACTGCTGTTCCAATTGCGTCCACTGGATGGTGCAATAGCAATTGTGTTAAGCAAGCAAACTGTTTATACCGGAGCAGAGCAAGTAGGTCAAGCACGTGCAGCCAATGAGCTACTTTGTTTTGCCCGCGATATTTATTACGGCTTCTACTTTTAACATTATGTGCTTTGGCACCCTCATTGCCCCAATATGTCTCTGTCAAAAAAGAGAAAAGTGGACGCAGAGTGCAGAGTGTTCCAAGAAAAGTGGTCATCCTATTTATTCACGGAATTGAATGGGAAAGCTGTATGTTTGGTGTGTTCAGAGCATGTTGCAATGCTGAAAGAATATAACCTTCGTCGCCACTATGTGAGTCTTCATGCCGACAAATATGACAACTTTCAAGGACAGCGGAGATGAGAGAAGGTGAATGAACTGTTGGCGGGTCTGAAGAAACAGCAGTCTGTGTTTACTCACAGCCGAGGCATCAGTGACGCTGCAGTGAAAGCTAGCTACCTTATTGCTAATGAAATCGCAGTGGCTTCAAAACCATTTAGTGAGGGTGAATTTGTAAAAACATGCATGATGAAGGCAGCGGAGATTGTGTGACCTGAAAAGCGGCAGGCTTTTGCAAATATCAGCCTGACAAGAAACACAGTTGCAGACAGGATTTCCGATCTTTCAGTGGATTTGGACAGCCAGTTGAAGCAAAAAGTAAAGTCATTTATTGCGTTTTCGGTTGCAATTGATGAAAGCACGGACATTACAGATGTTGCACAACTGGCCATTTTCATCCGCGGAGTTGATGACACATTGACCGTCACCGAGGAGTTCGTGGAGTTGGTGCCGATGACAGATACAACGACAGCAGCTGATATTTTTACCGCACTCGTCGGCGCGCTGGACAGGGTCGGAGTGGACTGGTCCCGCGCTGTCAGCCTGGCTACAGTTGGTGCGCCCTCAATGATCGGGAAAAAAGCAGGCGTTGTGACAAAGTTCAGAGAGAAAGTGCAATCTGCAAATGGAGGATGTGATTTTTTGACTTTTCACTGTATTTTGCACCAGGAGGCTTTGTGTTGCAAGTCATTAAAGATGGATAACGTCATGAAGGTGGTCATCCAAACTGTTAATTTCATCCGATCCAGAAGCCTGAATCACCGTCAGTTTGACAGCCTTCTCAGAGAGAAAGACCACATCTATGGCCTGCCATACCACACTGAGGTAAGATGGTTAAGCCGAGGTGCTGTGCTGAGGCGTTTCTTTGATTTACGAGAAGAAATTGAACAGTTCATGGAAGAAAAGGGCAAACCAGTGTTAGAATTTCATTCCGCAGAATGGATGCAGGACCTTGCATTTATGGTGGATGTTACAGAGCACCTGAATAACTTGAACAAACAGCTGCAAGGGCGCAACAAAGTTGTCACGCAGTATTATGACAGCATACGTTCTTTCAAGTTGAAGCTGTCATTGTGGGAGATGCAACTTGCCGGTGGTGATGCAGCTCACTTCCCCTGTCTGAAAAATGTGTGCGCGACCCAACATGTGGCAGACATGAAGCGGTTCAAATATAAAATAACGGGACTGTTACGGGAGTTTGAGCAACGCTTTCAGATTTATGTTTATATAGTTTTATGTTGATGTGCTATTGTTTTTAATAGATTTTATTTTATTTGTATATTTAACCTATTCTTGACTCTGTGGTTCTTGCACTTGTTTGGGGAACAGGATTTCATTATTTTTATCTACATTTCTGCCTGAGAAATGACACCCTGATATAGTTCTGTGATCTGTGATATACTTCTGTGAATCACTGAGGCATTGTGTGTTTGTGTGTTCTTTGTCCTCAGAACTTTCAAATAACTTGAGGTGTTTTATGATTAATAGTGATGTTGTGCTTTTGGACACTGTCCTCAGGCTCCAGCTTTATGTTTATATGTTTTTATGTTGATGTGCTATTGTTTTTAATTGTTTTTATTTTATTTGTATATGTAACCTATTCTTGACTCTGTGGTTCTTGCACTTGTTTGGGGAACAGGATTTCATTATTTTTATCTACATTTCTGCCTGAGAAATGACACCCTGATATAGTTCTGTGATCTGTGAAACAGTTCTGTTAATCACTGAGGCATTGTGTGTTTGTGTGTTCTTTTTCATTAGAATTTTCAAATAAACTTGACGTGTTTTATGATTAATAGTGATGTTGTGCTTGTACTATTTTGGACACACTGTCCTCAGGCTCCAACTTTATGTTGTATGTTGATCGTATTAGAACAAAGAAAACAATCTGAAGTTGTTGTTTTTAAGTTATATATACCATGATTTTTCCGGTCCGGCCCACTTGGGAATAGAATTTCCTCCATGTGGCCCCTGAGCTAAAATGAGTTTGACACCCCTGACGTAAACATTCTGACTTCTAATGTATTCAGTGCTGAATCATAGAACTTCATGAAGAAAGAGCTGGACAGAACACCGTTGTTCACAGTACCTCAGAGTTCCACAGTACACAAAATGAACCCCCATAGAGACTCAGAGGTGATTCAGGTGAAACTGACCACCACATTCTTACTATTTCATTTTTTGTTCTTCCCCTGTATCCCAGCTGAGGTGACGTTCCGTTGGATATACAACGAGTTTCCGGTTTTCCTCCACCCGGATAAGCGTCGCTTCGTCTCTCAGAGCACCGGGAATCTGTACATCTCCAAGGTGGAGGCGTCAGACGCAGGGAACTACTCCTGCTATGTGTTTAACCCACAGATCGGCAAGGGAGTCTACTCCAAGTTCATCACTCTTATTTCTACAGAAGAGAGTGAGTAGCCTATGTCTGTGTTACCTATATAGTTCACTACTTTATGTCTGTGTTACCTAGATAGTTCACTACTTTATGTCTGTGTTACCTAGATAGTTCACAACTTTATGTCTGTGTTACCTAGATAGTTCACAACTTTATATCTGTGTTACCTAGATAGTTCACAACTTTATGTCTGTGTTACCTAGATAGTTCACTACTTTATGTCTGTGTTACCTAGATAGTTCACTACTTTGTGTCTGTGTTACCTAGATAGTTCACAACTTTATGTCTGTGTTACCTAGATAGTTCACAACTTTATGTCTGTGTTACCTAGATAGTTCACTACTTTATGTCTGTGTTACCTAGATAGTTCACAACTTTATGTCTGTGTTACCTAGATAGTTCACTACTTTATGTCTGTGTTACCTAGATAGTTCACTACTTTATGTCTGTGTTACCTAGATAGTGCACTACTTTTGACCATTGTCTTTGCTTTGTCTGCAACTCCGGGTAGTTACGCCTAGGCTCAGATCTAGGATCAGCTTATACCCTCCCCAAAACCTAAGATGTTTCATTAGATGGAAAGACACAAAACTGACCTTAGATCAATGTCTAGGTAGAAGTTGACCCTAGTCACAGATCTATGATCATCTTACACTGCGAAATCTAACCCTAAACATTAGGCTGGAAAAACACAAAAAACTGACCAGAGATCAATATCTTTTGGGCAACTCTATAGTGTTGACCTATGACCTATGACCCTTTCATCCCCACAGCCCCAGAGAAGAGGTACAAGGCCGACCTCGTAGTGAAGTTCCCTGACACCACAGCTATGCTCAACTACAACGTCACACTGGAGTGCTTCGCTCTGGGAAAGTGAGTCAGAATATGGAAATGACAGATATTTAGTTACTGATGAAACAAACACCAAGACTTTGGGGACTTTTGATCAGTCGTCACACTGTAATAGAGAAGATGGCATCCACTTGCTTATACATCTTTTGTGAAACAGTTATGTATGCCTTTATTTATTTATTAAGCCTTCATAAGACACATGGCCTGTCCCAAATGGTTCCCTTTTCCCTATATAGTGCACTACTCTTGACCAGAGCCCTAGAATCGGCTTCCTATTTCGCAACAAAGCCTCCTTCACTCATGCTGCCAAACATGCCCTCGTAAAACTGACTATCCTACCGATCCTTGACTTCGGCGATGTCATTTACAAAATAGCCTCCAACACTCTACTCAGCAAATTGGATGTAGTCTATCACAGTGCCATCCGTTTTGTCACCAAAGCCCCATATACTACCCACCACTGTGACCTGTACGCTCTTGTTGGCTAGTCCTCACTACATATTCGTCGCCAAACCCACTGGCTCCAGGCCATCTATAAATCACTGCTAGGCAAATCCCTGCCTTATCTTAGCTCATTGGTCACCATAGCAACACCCACCCGTAGTATGTGCTCCAGCAGTTATATCTCACTGGTCATCCCCAAAGCCAACACCTCCTTTGGCCCCCATTCCTTCCAGTTCTCTGCTGCCAATGACTGGAATGAACTGCAAAAATCTCTGAAGCTGGAGACTCTTATCTCCCTCACTAACTTTAAGCATCAGTTGTCAGAGCAGCTTACCGATCACTGCACCTGTACAAAACCCATCTGAAATTAGCCCACCCAACTACCTAATTCCCATATTGTTATTTATTTTGCTAATTTGCACCCCAGTATCTCTATTTGCACATCATCTCTTGCACATCTATCATTCCAGTGTTAATACTAATTGTAATTATTTTGCACTATGGCCTATTTATTGCCTTACCTCCATAACTTGCTACATTTGCACACACTGTATATATATTTATTTCTGTTGTATTTTTGACTTTGTTTTGTTTTACCCCATATGTAACTCTGTGTTGTTGTTTTTATCGCACTGCTTTGCTTTATCTTGGCCAGGTCGCAGTTGTAAATGAGAACTTGTTCTCAACTGGCTTACCTGGTTAAATAAAGGGGAAATCAAAATAAATAAATAAACATAGTGGACTAAATAGGGCATAGGGTGCCATTTGGGACATGACCATGCTCAGTTTGTTCCTTCGTCTCTTGTTCTCTTTGCGTCCAGTCCGGCCCCTCATATCGTCTGGAGGAAGATAGGTGCTACCGACCTGCCTGCTAGCGCTGAGGTCAGCATGTCTGGAGCGCTGCTCCACCTCTACAACGTCCAGTATGAAGATGCAGCAGGGTACGAGTGTGAGGCCATCAACCAGAAATGGCAGGACTGGCATCAGGCGTGGCTCTACGTAGAGGGTAAGATGCCAAACTCCATCTCTACAGTATTACAAGGACATATCTGATATACAGTATATAGCAGTTGCTTATAACACTTTACATTATAATGTTAGTACCACTAACACTAAGATATGATTTACTGTAAACCAAAACATATACATGGTTTCATTGTAGTGTGTATGTGTTTCAACATTGATATTATGTTTTGATTGACAGCTGCTCCTGAGTGGGCTGTGACCATCAACAACACCCAGAAGGACATAGGGTCAGAACACACCATGTCCTGTGTAGCTAACGGGAAGCCTGACCCGTACATCCGATGGCTCAAGGATGGATACTCGGTAAAGATGCCTGTCCTCCCCATGCTGGCTGTTATTCTTTAAAGGGCTACTTCACCATCAAAATCAAAGTTGGACAGATGAACACAAAACTCTTAAAGGGATACTTTGGGATTTTGGCAAGGATGCCCTTTATCTACTTCCCCAGAGTCAGATCAACTTGTGGATACCATCTGTATGTGTCTGTGTCCAGTATGAAGGAAGTTAGAGGTAGTTTGACGAGCCAATGCTAACTAGCGTTAGCACAATGACTGGAAGTCTATGGGTCTCTGCTGGCATGCTTTTGTGGTAGGTGTTTTAATCAACACCTACCACAATTAATGTACATCTGTTGTGTAGATCCATTCTATAAGAATAGTGAAATAAGCAGGCCTTGATCTCAATTCAACAGGAAAGATTGGCACCATCTTATCTTGTACAAATTCTTTCCCAGTATGGTAAAGGTGAGCTGAAGTTCTCCAGTCTGACGTTTGATGACTCTGGGATGTACCAGTGTATCGCTGAGAACTACTGGGGTATCATCTACGCCAGCGCTGAGCTACGTGTCATTGGTGAGTGTATAACACAAACTACGTGTGATTGGTTAGTCTGTAACAAAAACTATGTGTGATTGGTTAGTCTATATCCCAAACTATGTGTGATTGGTTAGTCTATAACCCAAACTATGTGTGATTGGTTAGTCTATAACCCAAACTACCTGTGATTGGTTAGTCTATATCCCAAACTAGCTGTGATTGGTTAGTCTATATCCCAAACTACGTGTGATTGGTTAGTTTATAACCCAAACTACGTGTGATTGGTTAGTCTATATCCCAAACTATGTGTGATTGGTAGTCTATAACCCAAACTACGAGTGATTGGTTAGTCTATATCCCAAACTACGTGTGATTGGTTAGTCTATATCCCAAACTACGTGTGATTGGTTAGTCTATATCCCAAACTACGTGTGATTGGTTAGTCTATAGCACAAATTACGTGTGATTGGTTAGTCTATATCCCAAACTACGTGTGATTGGTTAGTCTATAACACAAACTATGTGTGATTGGTTAGTTTATAACACAAATTACGTGTGATTCGTTAGTCTATATCCCAAACTATGTGTGATTGGTTAGTCTATAACACAAATTACGTGTGATTGGTTAGTCTATAACACAAACTACGTGTGATTGGTTAGTCTATAACACAAACTACATGTGATTGGCTAGTCTATAACACAAATTACGTGTGATTGGTTAGTCTATAACACAAACTATGTGTGATTGGTTAGTCTATAACACAAATTACGTGTGATTGGTTAGTCTATAACACAAACTATGTGTGATTGGTTAGTCTATAACACAAACTATGTGTGATTGGTTAGTCTATAACACAAACTACGTGTGATTGGTTAGTCTATAACACAAACTATGTGTGATTGGTTAGTCTATAACACAAACTATATGTGATTGGTTAGTCTATAACCCAAACTACGTATGATTGGTTAGTCTATAACCCAAACTATGTGTGATTGGTTAGTCTATAACACAAACTATGTGTGATTGGTGAGTCTATAACACAAACTACATGTGATTGGTGAGTCTATAACACAAACTACGTGTGATTGGTTAGTCTATAACACAAACTACATGTCATTGGTTAGTCTATAACACAAACTATGTGTGATTGGTTAGTCTATAACACAAACTACATGTGATTGGCTAGTCTATAACACAAACTACGTGTGATTGGTTAGTCTATAACACAAACTATGTGTGATTGGTGAGTCTATAACACAAACTACATGTGATTGGTGAGTCTATAACACAAACTACATGTGATTGGTTAGTCTATAACAAAAACTACGTGTGACTGGTGAGTCTATAACCCAAACTACGAGCCATTGGTGAGTCTGTGCCCGGCACCTCATTGGTTCATCTTTGAAAACAAATATGTAATATTAACAAGCACATAACCACTGTGTTTCTAGTGTTGATTCTGGGAATATAAAAAACAACATAGTCATCATTTATACACACTACAAAGTCCTCATTGATAAATAATTACATCCAACCACTTCCAAATATAGACAGTCTAAATTCTACCCTTCCCCATCCCAGCTTGTGCCCCAACGTTTGAGTTCAACCCAGTGAAGAAGTATCTTCTAGGAGCTAACAACGGCCGTGTGGTCATAGAGTGTAAACCCAGAGCTGCCCCCAGACCCAGGTTCACCTGGACCAAGGGAAAAGAAGTGCTCTTCAACAACTCACGGTAAATAAGGACGTCTTTGTGGGGGAAAATAATGTTACGAATACAAATGTTTGATTGGTTGATTGGTTGGTTGATTGGTTGATCAATTGGCTGATTGGTTTATTGGTTGGTTGATTGGTTGATTGGTTGATTGGTTGATTGGTTGATTGGTTGATTGGTTGATTGGTTGATTGGTTGATTGGTTGATTGGTTGGTTGATTGGTTGGTTGATTGATTGACATCTGAGTTTGTTATTCATCCCAGCAACTGTAGGAGAATCTTGTCAAACCTTTGAAAGAAATCCAAAGTGCTGTATGGTTGTGAATGTTTCCGTCCCTCCATAGGATCTCCATAATGTTTGATGGGAGTCTGGAGATCCTGAACGCCACCAGGAATGACCAGGGGGTTTACACCTGCTTAGCTGAGAACGACAGGGGGAAGGCCAACAGCACAGGGACTCTCACCATCACAGGTATTACGCTCCATCCAGCTTTACACAGTTGTCTAAAATCTGCCCTATTATGAATCTACCTTGAATGTTCATGTGTAGTTACTGGGTATGTTGGTCACAGTGAACCATCTGTATGTCTCATTCGTTGATCCCATTCTGATTCTGTATTGACATGAGTACTGTTCTTTAAAGCTGGGTCTGTGTACAGCCAGCATAACGTTGCACAGTGTTGGTAAACAGTCTTCTCTACGTGTGTGTGTCTGACACAGAGGCGACCCAGATCACAGTGGCCCCAGAGGACACCCAGGTGATGGTAGGGGAGGAGGTGCGTCTGCAGTGCCAGGCCTCCTATGACCCCAGTCTGGACATCACCTTCATCTGGTCTCTGGACTTCAGGGTCATCGACCTCTACCTAGAGAGGAAGCACTACGAACGCATCATGGTAGGGAGGGATAGCACAACCCAGCAGGGTTGTGGTCAATTCCATTTCAATTCAGTCAATTCAGGAAGTATAATGAAATTCCAATTCCAATTCCCTTCAATGCTTTTGGTTTACTTTCTGAATTGACTGTATTCTAAATAGAATTGACCACAACCCTGGAACCCAGAATTAAATCTTGCGTGCTAACTTTTATGTTAACAATCTGTCATGAGAAACATGGAGTGATGGATGAGGCGTCAATGTCCCACCTTACAAGGCCGAATCATTTTGTGGAATCATATGCACACTGTGGGCTGAATGCATCTCAATATCCAGACTCAAAGTCTGACTCTGGCATAGCCTTTTACAAGCTCTTCTGGAAGTCTGGTAAAATCCAGACGAGCTGAACGCTATATATTACTTAAGCAATGAGCATGCATTGATATTGATGCCAATAAGATACCAGATACCTGTTTCTCAGGTGATTTGCCACTGTGTGAAGTGTCTAACCCTGTCTCTCTGTCTGTCTATCTCCTGTCCGTCCAGGATCGTGAGGACAGTGGAGAGCTGAAGATAATGAATGTCCAGTTAAGACACGAGGGACGCTACACATGTACAGCCCAGACTGTTGTGGACAACGTTACCGCGTCAGCTGACCTCAAGGTCAAAGGTCGTCCTGGTCCTCCCGGTGGGGTGAGGGTTGAGGAGATCAGGGACACCTCGGTGAAGTTGGTGTGGAACCGAGGGGCCAACCACGGCAGCCCCATCCTCGGGTACACCATCCAGACCAGAGACTTCTACGCACTAACTGAAGTGGACTGGAGGGACGCCTCCACCTGTAAGTACAGGAGTCTACCACCAGAGGGAGTCATTACTCTAACGCTGACAGCAAAAACATGAATACAGTTGCCTTTAATGCTGAACATACTACTACCCCTGCTCTCTCTCCCCCTCTCTCTCTATCCCCTCCCTCCCTCCGCATCTAGATCAGCTTATCTATGATCTCTCTCGAGAATCTCGCTCTAAATCATCACAAAGCTCACTCACTCACTCACGCACTCACTCACCATACGCTCCTCCTCTCTCTCTCTCAGCCTTTCGCTCCTCTACTCCTCTCTCTCTCTCTCTCATCTCTCATCTCCCTCTACTCGACTCTCACTCCCCTATATGCTCGTATCTCTCTCTCTCTCTCTCTCTCTCTCCTCTCCTCCCTATCCCTCTCTCTCTCCTCTTCTCTCTCTCTCTCTCTCTCTCCCTCTCTCTCTTTCTCAGCCCCTACGGCCCTGGATGGCATGTCAGTGATGGCTGATGTTATGGACCTGTACCCCTGGATGGAGTATGAGTTCAGGGTCTATGCTACTAACGAGTTTGGAGACGGGGAGGCCAGCATCCCTTCCATGAAGATCAAAACCTGGGACGCAGGTAGGGACCTGCCTGGGCCACTAACATGTTGTTGTTGCAATAGAAATGTGTGCGTTTGTGTATGAGTGTCTAATAACATCTGTTGGAAACACACTGTCTCTCAGTGCCTGTGGTGGCCCCGACCAACGTTGGAGGCTACGGGGGTAAAGATGGAGAGTTGATCATCACATGGACAGTAGGTGTCTGAGTTTCTCTCTTCCCCCTGTGGATGACACATTTCAACCAACCCTTCTAACCATGTTCTGATCCAGTGTTCTTCAGTCCTGGTTGTGTAGCATTATACGGTCTGCAGGCTTTTGCTCCTACCTCTATTTTGCCATAATGGTTCATACAAAATCTACGGTATCGACTTAAAGTTACTAATGTTGTTTTTCTTGAACAGCTTTTAATAAAAATTTGGTCAGTTTGATATGTTGTGGGTCTTCATGATTAGGTAAATAACAAGGATCTGATCTTCCTCTGTCATCTTCCAGCCCGTGCAGCCGCAATACTTCTACGGCAAGAAGTTTGGCTACGTTGTGGCCTTCAAGCCTCATGATGATTATGACTGGTGGTATGAGACCATATCAGACCCAGAGACACGACGCTACGTCCATCGTGACTCCTCTTTCGGGGTCAAGTCGGACGACTTCCAGGTCAGGGAGTTCCAGGTGAAGGTGAAGACGTTTAACTCCAAAGGAGATGGACCCTACAGCCTGACAACCACTGTCTACTACCCACGAAATGGTGAGGGTAATACTAACCCTAACCCCTAACCCCACGAGATGGTGAGGATCAGACTAACCCTAACCCCTAACCCTAACCCCACGAGATGGTGAGGATCAGACTAACCCTAACCCCTAACCCTAACCCCACGAGATGGTGAGGATCAGACTAACCCTAACCCCTAACCCTAACCCCACGAGATGGTGAGGATCAGACTAACCCTAACCCACTAACCCTAACCCCCACAAGATGGTGAGGATCAGACTAACCCTAACCCCTAACCCTAACCCCACGAGATGTGAGGATCAGACTAACCCTAACCCCTAACCCTAACCCCCACGAGATGGTGAGGATCAGACTAACCCTAACCCCTAGCCCTAACCCCACGAGATGGTGAGGATCAGGACTAAACCTAACCCCTAACCCTAACCCCACGAGATGGTGAGGATCAGACTAACCCCTAACCCTAACCCCACGAGATGGTGAGGATCAGACTAACCCTAACCCTAACCCCATGAGATGGTGAGGATCAGACTAACCCCTAACCCTAACCCCACGAGATGGTGAGGATCATACTAACCCTAACCCCTAACCCTAACCCCACGAGATGGTGAGGATCATACTAACCCTAACCCCTAACCCCTAACCCCACGAGATGGTGAGGATCATACTAACCCTAACCCTAGCTGTATGACCACATCCCGGTTCAACCCTAACCCTAACCTCAACCACAACCCTAGCCTCAAACCAGAGAAGAGCAGCTGAATCCAGGTGGATAGCCAAACTTAAGACCTTGGCTCCACTTGGTTTGAATGGTAAAGAGTAGTATACAGCCTTGACGGTGGGAGTCAGTGAGGGCCCAATCAGGAGAGCCGGAGAGGCCACCACCACCAGGAGGAAGTTCAATAAAAAACCATGGAATTACTAGCCCTGTCTGGATTTGTGTTTCATATTTAATGTTCTTATATTAAGCACTTATTTTAGCAGCACTTAATCCCTTAATGCCTTGGTGTGATTTTTTTATTATGTTCTATATTATTTACTTATTCAATTATTTATCTATTCATTTATTGATCCAGCTTGCATGTTTTATTATTTTAAAAATGAACTTGTTCACCCTCAGCACTTCATCAACCCTCATCTTCCTCCTATTGTTGAACCGTCGTGGGTGACCCCTCTGAGCTCCCGGCCTTCATGTTCTCTCACCCTCTCCAGACCGGACTGACGTACAATATAGAAACAGAGCAGGAAGTTGCAATAGGCCCGTGCAACCCAAGGTTTGATACCAGCACAAACAGAAACCCTCTTAAACCTAAACCTAAACCTATACTCAAACCTAAACCCAACCCTCAACCCTAAACCCAACCCTAGCCTCAACCCTAAACCTAACCCTAGCCTCAACCCTAAACCCAACCCTAGCCTCAACCCTAAACCCAACCCTAGCCTCAACCCTAAACCCAACCCTAGCCTCAACCCTAAACCTAACCCTAGCCTCAACCCTAAACCTAACCCTAGCCTCAATCCTAAACCTAACCCTAGCCTCAACCCTAAACCTAACCCTAGCCTCAACCCTAAACCTAACCCTAGCCTCAATCCTAAACCTAACCCTAGCCTCAACCCTAAACCTAACCCTAGCCTCAACCCTAAACCTAACCCTAGCCTCAATCCTAAACCCAACCCTAGCCTCAACCCTAAACCTAACCCTAGCCTCAACCCTAGCCTCAACCCTAGCCTCAACCCTAATCTTAACCCTCAACCCTAACCCTAACCCTAGCCGCAACTAAGGCTCATTTTAGCCCAAATCCTAACCTTAATCTTGAGGGGGAAGATAGCCCACCCCATCAACCCTTTATTAGTTGTGACCCTAACCTTGACCCTAATCATAACTACTTAGGGGAACAAGGCTTAATCAATCAACCCTCGGTTAGATCTGAGGCTAACCTTAACCCTAACCTTAACCAATCAGTGGAACATGACTTACTCCTTCCAGTTGCCTCAGGCCTTTATATTAATTCTGTCACTGTTTCTAACTCTAATCCTAACCTTAACCACACTGGACAAAATGGTTCACTTCAGCAACCCTTGGTTGACTCTAACCCTAACCTTAACCCTAACCTTAACCAATCAGGGGAACATGGCTTACTCCAGCACCAATCAGGTTGCTCTGGTCTTAAGCTTGACTCTACCAATGACCCTTACATGGGCAATAACCCTAAACTCAACCACACAAGAGAACAAAGCTCTCCACTGCAACCCTTGGTTAGCTCTAATCTTGATACTAATCTAAACCAGTCAGGGCAACATGGCTCACTCCAGTACCCCCCCAGTTGGTTCCAGCCTTGGTATTGACTCTGGCCTAGAATCTAACCTCAACCACGCAGGTGGAGACAGCTCACTTCAGAACCTTCAGCACTCTTAACAACGAACCTAGCAGGTTACAGACTGATGTTATGATTTTTAATGTCCATTTTGAGCTGGGAACCTTGGATGACCCCCCACCCCTCTCAACACCATGCAATTCTCCAGTGACTTCAGGTGTAGGAATAAGTGGGGCAGTTACTAGTAATGTTGCGGTGATTATGTCTGATTACATTACTCTTTCTTTCCCCCTGTATAGATGGGGTGTTGCCACCTGGGGGGAGCATCCAAACACCCACTCCCATGCATCCCACACCCACACACACACCAACTTCCAGTGGTGGCCCTCACTGATAACGAAATTACGAAGGGTCATTCTGATAAAAAGCACCAAAAAAAGCAAGTGAGTCCTCAGATTTCTCCAACAGGAGAGTTTCCACCAGTTCCACTACTGATACGGAAACTTCCAGTACTGCTCCCTTCCAGAGACCTACACCACATGCCAATTCAACTCATAAAATAAGGGATTGTTTCAGATTGCGGGAGTGAATCATGTAATGTGGCAGAGTATATTGATTCCTTTCTCAATCCCTTATCTCAGAAGCACCCCAGTTATGTTGTCACGTTCGTTGAAGGACGGGTCAGACCAAGGCGCAGCGTGATATACGTACATGTTTATTAAAGTAATAAACAACACGACAAAAACAAAGGAAACGAAACGTGAAGTCCAAGGTAGCACACACACCATACCTTACAAGGAACAAGATCCCACAACTAGACAGTGCCAATAGGCTGCTTAAGTATGGTACCCCAATCAGAGACAACGAGCGACAGCTGCCTCTGATTGGGAACCACACCGGCCAACATAGAACTAGACATACTAGATCCTAAACATAGACAAAGCACAACAAGGAATATACAAACCCTGACTCAACATATAAGCGTCCCCTGAGTCAGGGCGTGACAGTACCCCCCCCCCCCCAAAGGTGCGGACTCCGACCGCACAACATAAACATAACAGGGTAGGGGCCGGGCGGGCATTCCGCCTCGGAGGCGGATCCGGCTCAGGGCGTGACGACCTCTCACTCTTCCGCCTCCCTGTTGCGCCCCTGGTCTGGTCTAGACCTCGGCGCGTTGCTTCCCCTCTCCTTCCTCCCACGATACGCCAGGCCCTGTCTGGACCCTGAACCTGGAGAGGGGCTGACGTCATGGTCTGGACTGGAGCCGCTGACCGAAGCTGGATCAGGCACCGGTGGAGCGGACTGCTCTGGCTCCGGAGTGGAGCCGCTGACCGGAGCTGGACTAGGCCCTGGTGGAGCGGACTGCTCTGGCTCCGGAGTGGCGCAGCTGACCGGAGCTGGATCAGGCACCGGTGGAGCAGACTGCTCTGGCTCCGGAGTGGAGCAGCTGACCGGAGCTGGATCAGGCAACGGTGGAGCGGACTGCTCTGGCTCTGGAGTGGAACAGCTGACCGGCACTGGATCAGGCACCGGTGGAGCGGACTGCTCTGGCTTCGGAGTGGAGCAGCTGACCGGTGCTGGACCAGGCACGGGCCGTGCCGGACTGGACAAACGCACCACTGGTCTGGTGCGAGGAGCAGGCACGGGCCGGACCGGACTAGGAACACGCACCACTGGCTTGGTGCGGGGAGCAGTAACGGGCCGGGCCGGACTGGCGACACGCACCACTGGCTTGGTGCGAGGAGCAGGAACAGGCCGGGCCGGGCTGGCGACGCGCACCACAGGCTTGGTGCGAGGAGCAGGACTGGGTGCCTTTATTAACCCCCGCTCCTTCTACTGCCTAACCAGCTCCTCTCGCCGTGCCTCTACTCTTTCCTTCTCCCTTTTAGCCTCCTGTAGCGCCTCCCTCTGACCGAATAACTCCTGCTCCCTCTGAACCAATAGCCCCCATAACATGGTGGCCTCCTCTCCTAACCTGCAGATCCGCCCTTTAACGGCCTCCTGCTGCCTCGTCGTCCACACAGTGTGCCCCCCCCCAACATTTTCTTGGGGTTGCCTCTCGGGTCTCCGTTTCACCTCTCCTGCCTGGGCTTCCTCCTTCGCCCAGGGTCCGCTATCGGCTAATCTCACCTCCTTCTCCCTCATCCCTTTCAGGGCCTCCATATGCTTGGCCAGATCCTCTCTTATCTCCTCCCAAGTCCATGATCTCTGCTCCACTACCTGTGTCCAGGGTGTCTGCTGCTCCTGGGCATGCTGCTTGGTCCGTGTTTGGTGGGATCTTCTGTCACGTTCCTTGAAGGACGGGTCAGACCAAGGCGCAGCGTGATATACGTACATGTTTATTAAAGTAATAAACAACACGACAAAAACAAAGGAAACGAAACGTGAAGTCCAAGGTAGCACACACAACATACCTTACAAGGAACAAGATCCCACAACTAGACAGTGCCAATAGGCTGCTTAAGTATGGTCCCCAATCAGAGACAACGAGCGACAGCTGCCTCTGATTGGGAACCACACCGGCCAACATAGAACTAGACATACTAGATCCTAAACATAGACAAAGCACAACAAGGAATATACACACCCTGACTCAACAAATAAGCGTCCCCTGAGTCAGGGCGTGACATATGTAAAGGATACCTATGCATTTGTTAATAAGCTTAGAGAAATGGAGTTAACTTCTGGAGCAATGTTATTCTCGATTGATGTAGACTCACTATACACTAATACTGACACTCAATTAGGACTTAGGGCAGGGATACAAATAGACCAGATGAGGCTATCCTTTCTCTCTTAGAACTGGGAATAACACGGAATGACTTTGAATTTGATTCTAAACACTGCTTACAAATCTCAGGTACTGCAACAGGGAAGAAGTTTGCTCCTGCGTATGCCAACATGTACATGACTGATTGGGAGCAGACGGTCTTCCCCAAGTGCAAAAAACTTCCATTCATATACATGCGGTACTTGGATGATATCTTTGGGGTTTGGTGCCACTCGGTGGGGGAGTTTGTAAACTTTATAGATATTTTGAATGGACATCACCCCTCGATTACAGTTAAGTACAACTTACAATTTCTTGATACCAAAGTTTTATGATGCCAGGCCATAATGATAGAAACCTCTTGGGAATTAGAGTATATTTCAAACCGACCGACACACACATGCATTGCTACATGAGACTAGTTATCATCCTAAACAACTTATAGGGGTCTTATTAAGTCTGTTTGTTTTTTAAATGAAGATTACGAGGCAGCTACACAGATACTGGTTTCTTTGTGATAATTTTTTTTGGATTTGCATGATAACGGAATATAGTTTTTCCTCTTTTGGCTATTTTGATTTCTACCCCCTCCTCTTAATGCACTTGTTCCAACAATTATAACTTATTTATTTATATTTGCCAACATCAGGACTTATAACCTTTTGGCAAAATAACCTTGAGGCAAAAATATATATATATATATATATATTATATTATATTATTTATGATTTTGAGTATCTAATTGTTTTGAGGATTGGTTGGTGTCATCTCCTCCCAACTAAAAGACAATCTTGTAACAAAATGTCATACATGTCAGTGCCTTGTACCTGGGCATGACAGCCCAGTGGTTAGAGTATGACGATAGTGACTGGTAAATTGCTGGTTCGATTCTTCAAGGGGAGGCAAAACTGTTTTTTGGGGTGTTCCATTGAGAAAGGCGTTTGTTGATGGAGTTTATGCCGTCTAGTGACCAGTAACAGACATTACAGGGAACTACCCTTTATTTTGGTTGGAAGTTTGGAGCTTTCTGGGATCACTTCCTCTATTTTTACAATGTATTAAAATGGTACCTTGGTTTTAAATAGAGGTTCATAAAATGAGTGGGGTAATTGTCTATGTACTTCTTGTGGGTAACAGTTTTTGTCCCCTTACCTAACCCTAATCTCAACCCTAACCCTAGCCTCAACTCTAACCCTAGTTGATTATGGACCCAATACCTTCCATTTCTTATGACTTACTAAAGCCTATTTGGAGGGGATGGGAGCGTGTGTATATTTGTATTGCCTTGCAGGTTTTGCCATGCGTGTTCTTCTCAGACATGAGGGGTTTATATGGCATTTATATCATTATTTGCGCTTTTGTAACATTGAAAAGATTCTCTCTACTGTGTTCGATTTCTTGGGGTTTCTCGATTGGTCCTGATTATTAGAGATGTTGAAGATGGGTTGGTCTAGGACCTATGTGCCCGTGCGCCCTGCTTGCCCCTCGTGGGTAACAGAACTTAGTCCCCTAGCCTGAACCCTAACCCCCCCTCTCTCAATCTGATCTACCCCAAATCCCTCGCTCTCTCCCCCGACCCCCTCTCTCAAATTGATCTACCCCAATCCCTCTCTCTCTCTCTCTCTCTCTCTCTCTCTCTCTCTCTCTCTCTCTCTCTCTCTCTCTCTCTCTCTCCACTAGTCCCCTCTGAGTCTCCTACAGATGTATACGCCAGGCCTGTCTCGTCCCACGAAGCTTTGGTCTGGTGGCTACCAGTCATGGACACTGGTACCGGCCTTCAGCAGTACATAGATGGATACCAGGTCTGTAGCTCTGTAAATCTCCTGGATATCTAATGATGTCCATGATTTATGAGGAAGGCCAGATATTCCTGGTCAGATTACGAATGATGGTCTGGTTAAGTGATCAGGAAAAACACATCCCACTGGGCACAGACGTCAGTTCAGCATCTAGTTTTGACTTACATTTGGTTGAGTTATCAACTAACGTGAATTCAACAAAATTATAATGTCATTGGATTTATGTTAAAAGTTGGGTGAAAAAAACTATGAAATTCCCTTGATGATTCTTTGCAAATCCAATCTGGTTTTTTTTTGCGTGAAATGACGTGGAAACAACGTTGATTCAACCGGTTTTTGCCCAGTTTGATGGCCCTTCTCATGAGACTATAGAAAATAAAATACCTTGTGTTCAACTGTAGCTTCCTTGCCAGTCTGACCTGAAAGAAGCATATGTCTTTGTGTGAGGAACTGGTGAATATTTTGATTGGTTCACCAGTTTTGATTCAGATTGATTGACACCTGCTCTGACCAATCCCGGCTCTCTGACCAGGTGAAGTACTGGAGGAAGTATGACGATACAGAGCCAGGGGCCAATCGTATCTTTGTGTCCGCCTCCATGAACCAGACCAGGCTGGAGAACATGCTGCCAGACTCCCACTACCTCATCGAGGTCAGAGCCTACAACGGAGCCGGTGTCGGCCCGCCCAGCGAACACTGCGAGATGTTCACCAAGAGAGCACGTAAGACCAGATGCCAAAACCACACTGTACTTCCATACACAGGTCTATTTTAGGTGATCCCATTGAGATTAATATTCTATTCTATTCTATTCTATTCTTTGCAGCTCCAAGTGTGGCTCCCCAAATGTGGCGTTATATCAGCTACTCTGGCAAGTGGCTGTACGTGTGGTGGCACCACATCCCCTACGACTGGTTTGGCAATGAGTCCTTCCCACTATATTATAAGGTATGTAAAGGCATTTTACTTTGTTTCATTTGAATCTTGCAGCAACTGGTGTGATCCAGTTTGAGCCTGTGGAAATAAATGTCCTCAGAAGACAAGAAAGGATGCCTCCTAGCGAATCGTCCTCCCTCGCAGAGAAGGGGGGAAGGAGGAAACAGGCCCGAAAATCCTCATCATAACGTAAGGCACTGACGCCCTCTCCTCATCCTCCCTCGATCCCCCTCCTACCTCTACGCCTCCTCTCCCTCCTCTCTCTCTCTTCTCTTCTCTCCTCTCCTCTCCTCTTCTATTCTCTACTCTACAGGTGATGTTCAGGAAGACTGGCTACATCACAGGGCCGATCTACATGACGGGCTGGCACTTCATTGACTTCCCCATGCCCCAGGTAGGGGACTACGAGCTGGAGGTCAGAGGTCGCTATGAGGGAGGAGACGGCCCCATCAGGAAGATCAGGCTTCAGGGTAAGTAAGGGATAGATGGGTTTAATGTAGCCTGGGTAGTATCTGGTTGGTGAATTGAAGGACTGTGTCAATTTGTGGGTGAATCTCAAAAGTATTTTCCTCGATTCCTCAATTATTTGATTCCTCTCTCCTCACCTTCTTCTCAAAACATCAGTGGGAAGGGAGGAGAGCATCGGAGGAGAAGTGTGTTTTGAGTGTGTTTGTTGTCCGGACAGTGTCTTACCCAGCATGCCTCTTACTGTGTCCCCTCCCCTCTTCCAGGTAAGGCGTCTTTCCTGAGACCCACTCTCAGTCTGGCCGCCATGCTACTGCTGGCCCTGTGCATCGTGGGATTGGGGATATAGAGACGCAGGACGTGTCTGGGTGGACTGTGGGAGATTTGACAGACACAACTCTCACATGGACTTCCTATATCTTGTTATGGACTTCCAATCTTTCCTCAACCTCTTACTGTCTGTATGTCTTCCCACAACAAAACAGAACAGCTTGCCACCATACAGACATGACCTGCCTAGCTACAGAATTACCTACATCTACAAGAGTTACTGTACTGTAAGACATCCACTAAATCCTTTCTGATTTACAGTACCAGTCAAAAACTTGGACACACCTACTCATTCAAGGGTTCTTCTTTATTTTTACTATTTTCTACATTGTAGAATAATAGTGAAGACATCAAAACTATGAAATAACACATATGGAATCATGTAGTAACCAAAAAAGTGTTAAACAAATCAATATATATATATATAGATTCTTCAAATAGCCACCCTTTGCCTTGATGACAGCTTTGCACACTCTTGGCATTCTCTCAACCAGCTTCACCTGGAATGCTTTTCCAACAGTCTTGAAGGAGTTCCCACATATGCTGAGCACTCGTTGGCTGCTTTTCCTTCACTCTGCAGTCCAACTCATCCCAAACTATCTCAACTGGGTTGAGGTCGGGTGATTGTGGAGGCCAGGTCATCTGATGCAGCACTCCATCACTCTCCTTCTTGGTCAAATATCCCTTACACAGCATGGAAGTGTGTTTTGGGTCATTGTCCTGTTGAAAAACAAATGATAGTCCCACTAAGCGCAAACCAGATGGGATGGCGTATCGCTGCAGAATGATGTGGTAGCCATGCTGGTTAAGTGTGCCTTGAATTCTAAATAAATCACAGACAGTGTCACCAGCAAAGCACCCCCACACCATAACACCTCCTCCTCCATGCTTCACGGTGGGAACCACACATGCGGAGATCATCCGTTCACCTACTCTGCGTCTCACAAAGACACAGCGGTTGGAACCAAAAATCTCTAATTTGGACTCATCAGACCTAAGGACAGATTTCCACCGGTCTAATGTCAATTGCTCGTGTTTCTTGGCCTAAGCAAGTCTCTTCTTCTTATTGGTGTCCTTTAGTAGTGGTTTCTTTGCAGCAATTCGACCATGAAGGCCTGATTCACGCGGTCTCCTCTGAACAGTTGATGTTGAGATGTGTCTGTTACTTGAATTCTGTGAAGCATTTATTTGGGCTGCAATCTGAGGTGCAGTTAACTCTAATGAATGTATCCTCTGCAGCAGAGGTATCTCTGGGTCTTCCTTTCCTGTGGCGGTCCTCATGAGAGCCAGTTTCATCATCATAATATGGACTTGGTCTTTTACCAAATCGGGCTATCTTCTGTATACCACCCCTACCTTGTCACAACACAACTGATTAGCTGAAACGCATTAAGAAGGAAAGAAATTCCACAAATTAACTTTTAACAAAGCACACCTGTTAATTGAAATGCATTCCAGGTGACTACCTCATGAAGCTGGTTGAGAGAATGCCAAGAGTGTGCAAAGCTTTCAACAAGGCAAAGGATGGCTACTTTGAAGAATCTCAAATATAAAATATATTTTGATTTGTTTAACACTTTTTTGGTTACTACATGATTCCATATGTGTCATTTCATAGTTTTGATGTCTTCACTATTAATATACAGTGTAGAAAATAGTAAAAAATAAAGAAAAACTCTGGAATGAGTAGGTGTGTCCAAGCTTTTGACTGGTACTGTAGTTATTGAACAGGTACTGAAGGAATTGAACGGGTACTAAAGAGGAATAGATTTTTCAATATGATGAATCAAATTGTACAATCTTCCCAACATATTCTAGACTCATGTATAAGACAATGACTGACTGTAATCAACACTATACTTACTGTATGACGTGTAATGAGTAAACTGTAAAGGAATGATCAGAGGAAGATTGTATGTAGCTCAGTCACCAACTACACAGCCTCTTCCTCCCCTTGACTCACCCAGTTGTTTGGAAATGTAGTTTCCACAGGTTTGCCAATTCAAGACGGCACTAGAGTAGAAGTAGTGTGTGTTTATGTTTGATTGATTCGTTGGAGAATCCTTTTCACATTTCTGTAATGGTGCTGTGTGGAAATAGATATTTAGTTTTGGTTCGTTTTCCTGTTTTATGTTTGTTTATCTCTTCAGATTCGTACACACACGCTCGGCAGATATGGAAATAGCTATAACTAACTCTGCAGAGATTGCTAGCTTTGAATGCTATTCTTTCTTACACTGTACTATACCACATGCTAATCAGCTTTATATTCCTAGTGAATTCTGTCTTCTAGATGCGCAAGGTAACGCCATATCGCCTCGACAATGCCCTGATATTTAGGCTTGTCCAGATTTTTGCGCTGACGATCGCAGAATGTTTTAACTGAATGGTAACAAGAAATCAGGGTTGTAGAATATTGATGTGCTGCTGTTTATTTTGTTCTAGTATTTGTTTTCCATTGCTATGTATATGAGATCATGCTGTAAACTCGTTAAATAGAATACATATGAACGCTCCAGGATTGTAATTATCATGTGAGCGTCACTAAATCTTGAGAATGAAGTGTATTTGTTGTATTACTTTCATGATGCCAACAGAGGGCAGCATTCATTCATTTGCGTTGTTTACAGGTTACAGCCACTCATCTATGAAGACCTACTGCCAATCAATGTGAAAGGTGCGTCAGTGCCTCTCGAGTGGACCTTTAGCAGTCCTTATAGAGCAGTACCTGTGGAGTGGACCTTTAGCAGTCCTTATAGAGCAGTAGTAGTATTGTGGTGAGTGATATCTGCTGTGGCTTTGACTGTAATGTTCTCAGGAAGGCAATAACAGAAATAAATGGATAAAAACCTGGATAGACCCCCAAATCAGGACTATCATATTGTAACTGAGCCTCCCCCATCTTTCATTTCTCATTCATCTTATGCTTGCTGTCATTCTGGTTATGTTGTTGAGGACAATCACTTGTTCCTCTCTGAGGTAGAGACCTGATTAATATGGTTCTGTTGTTGAGGACAATCACTTGTTCCTCTCGGAGGTAGAGACCTAATTAATAGGGTTCTGTTGTTGAGGACAATCACTTGTTCCTCTCTGAGGTAGAGACCTGATTAATATGGTTCTGTTGTTGAGGACAATCACTTGTTCCTCTCTGAGGTAGAGACCTGATTAATATGGTTATGTTGTTGAGGACAATCACTTGTTCCTCTCGGAGGTAGAGACCTGATTAATATGGTTCTGTTGTTGAGGACAATCACTTGTTCCTCTCTGAGGTAGAGACCTGATTAATATGGTTCTGTTGTTGAGGACAATCACTTGTTCCTCTCGGAGGTAGAGACCTGATTAATATGGTTCTGTTGTTGAGGACAATCACTTGTTCCTCTCGGAGGTAAAAAAAGAGAGCGCTATTGTTACCGTGGTGAAATCAGAAGATGAGTAGAACAGGGAGCCCACAGATTACTGATGAGGGATAGTGTGTGCGGGTGTGTGTCTGTCTGTGTGTGTGTGTCTGTGTGTGTGTGTGTGTGTGTGTGTCTTCACGTACAGTATGTGTGTGGCCTTTTTTCTCTCTCTTCTACCTTCATTATCAGCGTCTCTATCCTCTAAATTCTCCCCCTAAATAAATTACAGGAATGGAGCAACGTACAAATCAATGTGGCCATTATGTGTAAACAATGTTACTGGTAGACAGAGGTGATGCTCTTACTGCTGGAGGCTGATTGGACCTCTGATGAAGCACAGAGAATAGCCTATTCTCCCTGAGAGAGCGAGAGAGAGAGAGAGAGAGAGAGAGAGAGAGAGAGAGAGAGAGAGAGAGAGAGAGAGAGAGAGAGAGAGAGAGAGAGAGAGAGAGAGAGAGAGAGAGAGAGAGAGAGAGAGAGAGAGAGAGAGAGAGAGAGAGAGATTCACATTGATGAACAGAATTGACTTCTTTCATTTGTTCTTTTGATGAAGCACTCAGAATAATGGTGTTTTGTTTTCTGTTGGTGTTATGATTATAATGAGTAGACAAGGAGACCTGTAGAATACTAATAGAAGGGCCTTCAAACATGGTCTGTCAATAGATCACTTCAGAGCATAAATAGATTGCAGCGTGTGGAATATCAGTTTTGCATGATTGTAATCAGGACCAGTGCTCTACAGATACCAATATAGTTCATCTGTAATCATTCTCGTGTGTATTCCACTGATGTCTAAATTCTGCCGTTTGACAATGAAGAAGGTAGGCTACTTCCATGTAGGCATATTTAATATTGGGCAAATATTCAGCATGGTATTCTGTGTGGGGACACTGATATATTATACATATGGAATGCTATTTATTTAGTCATTTGATATTCAGTTTGCCATGTTTCTAGATCAGAGGCCCACTGTCATCATTAGATACAGGGACCTGGGTGAAGAGAGATCTAACGACAACAGTCATGGAGGTGAAGAGCAGCCAGTTTACAGGGTGATTTCATACCTCTCTCACTGCATTTAAAAAACCTCTCTTCCCCTTTGTACCTCTAAATGTATCCTACATATCCTATTTAATACCCACATCTACATCCATATATCATTGATGCATTTGTATTTGCCCACAACAAGGTGCTGTAAATTTGAATAGAAAACACATTTTCCATAATTTAGCAGAAAGGGGGATGCTATGAATAATATAGGGCTCTCAGCATCGGATAGGGAACAGACCTCAATAAAATAGTCCAACCCCATCCACTATGGGTCTAAAGCAGGACCTACTGTATGTAAAGCGCCATGGATTAGCCTAGCGCTAGGCCATAAATCACATGCGTTTGGCAGGGCCCCCGGGCCAGGTAGCTATCTCGCTAACGTTACTTCACCTAGGCCCGTGGAGTCCTGTAATGCAATGTAGCCTAGCCTCTACTCTAAATCTAAGACATAAGATGGCCGTACAGAGTGGAATAGATTGAACCCCCTATAATCTAAATGTCCTGGGCCAATGTGATACGTCCGAGGCTATAGAGTATTAGCTGCAGTTAGCGCTGTTAGTGAGGGAACCCGCTGTTCCAAATGGCACCCTATTCCCTATTTAGTGCACTACTTTTGACCAGGGCCTATAGGCACTACTTTTGACATAGGGAATAGGGTGCCATTTGGGAAGCAACCCTTGTGTCAGACCAGGAAGTAATTGCCACATCTGTAGATGCTTTATGGCCCTGTTTACTCTATGAGGAATGGCTTTTTTAAGATGTCCCCTCTCTGCTATAAGGTGGTTCATATACTGGCACTTTGTCAAATTGATGGTCGTCTATAGGGGTATTCCTTCAATGGTAATGACCAAGAGAAGCAAAACC